CACAATGATAGTAATTATAAAAGACTATTTAGAGTTTCTCATTTCTTCAAAAGAGCCTTTCTAATAGTCAAGTTTTAAATAAGAAAACTCTTTTCGGGAACCATACTGTAACAAGAGTCCTATATAACTAGAACATTCTGTCAAATTTACAGTTTCTTATAGTGACCGTTAGGGGGGTCATATCTTAAAATGTGCAACAGCTACAACAACAACAATAAGAATAATAATAACAATGATAAATTAGTAATGATAATAATAATGAAAATAATAAAAATAATGATTATAAATATAAGAATACTAATAATGATAACCATTCATGCTCCATAGCACCGGTTCATGAAAAATGCAATAAATGCAGAAATGATATGGTAAATATAAATATTCAAAATCATCTACAGCTATTTTTGTACAACGCTTATCATGGAACCTTCACTGTGACTATGGACGTAGCGTATGGCCCCTATCATGGTACTTAAGTAAGATATTTGTATAAAACCAAGAGCACTTGACATGCAATGTATTAATGTACATTTGCAAAAAGCTTTAATGTCGATTTTTAAAAATAATTTGTAGATGTCTTCTTAAATAATTCCTAAAAATACATAACCACAAATTCATTGTGTTTCTTGCCGTACGTTTTGTATTATCATTCATGACAACATGATAGGCACAAATGATTTTATATCTTTCTGTATGGCAATGTGTTATATGCAAGTGTAAAGTAAAATGTCTGTTATTTGTGTTATAAACCAGGAGGGCATTGTCCCAATATATATCCATTAATTGTTAGTCTATAAGCATGAATGATTAGCATAAACGTCTGATACGCTTTTTTTGGCTTTGGGTCAGAAATCTTTACAATTATATATCCTGATATATGTTTTTTCTTATGTTGATATGTTCAGAAATATATTTCATTTAACTTTAACTTTACGTAAACAAGTCTTTATTAAATTGCTATTGTATTGTCATACTTACTTTGTTATAGTCTTTTGGCGTATTTCAAGCATTATCGGCAAAAGAAAGAAAAACGTACTTTAGTTTATAACAACATTGAGCTGTTTTCAACACAAATTACAAATAGAATGACCTATGTTTTGTTTGCGAGCCGAAAAGATTTCCACAAAGATATTATCAAACTGTTCTGTGTTCCCCTTTGTATTATGGGATGGTTATAAATTAAACGGAAATAATATGCGATGATAAATCAAGAAAGAATTAAGTGTGATTATAGAATGAGGAGAAATGATCAGCCATACTGTTTCTTTTGACAAATGGAAGTTATTTTGAAATATCTATTCTCCTAATAATAAATTTTTTAAACTTATTACATTCTAAAACTTTATTGCATTAAAACACAAACATATTAACAAACAAACAGACACACCGACATACATACAAACTCTCTGATCTGTCTGACTGACAGATGCACGGACGACGGAAGAACTAATGAAATATACCTGAAGAAATTTGTAAACAAAACTATTTCTAATGCAAAAAGGTTTTGTCGGTGCAATATTGTTTTGATAATTGATTCATTCCATTGTAAAACATTTTTTCAAGTTAGATTTTGGAACTGTATGTTTACATCAAACCGAGCAAGTAGGATCATGATAACTCAATAACCCTTCAGTTTTTTTGTCTGTAGGAATAACTAATAAATTCTGCCAGCTTAGCTGACTTGTAGAAAAGAATAACAAAGTAGAAGGAAAGTCAAAGTCATATAACATGTCCTGGTCATATCAATTTTCTAAAAAGAGCAACACTGCTTCATGTCAAAGAGAATTTAAAGATTCATAAGCCTTTAATATAATAATTTCTATCGTCTATCGTAAATGAAAAAGGTTTGTATTGATTTACTGCTTTTAATTAAACTATATCGATTCAGATCATCGTGTCGTAATATTGAATAAGACATAAAATCTGTACCCTTTGATGCTTGTGCTTTTTTATATTTGATATGTATATAATGTGATTGTGTAACTCGTTCAATTTCTCTTGTGTTATATCTTGAAGTTCATTATATATTCTTTGGTCGCGCATATTTGTTTCAGTAAATACACAACTAAGGTTATCGTTAAAAAACCCAAAACAAAATACAACAACAACAGAAAAAAAAACAACAGAATCTTCCAGTGAATTATTGCCCGAATAACTTTAAACACGTGCTTCTTCTCCTGTCATACCTGTTATAATACAATAATAAATCGTGATAACTTAACACAATTAATTGTCGTCTGCTACACTTTGATAAAACTGTTATATCACATTAACAGAAGTATTTCAATTCATTAGAATATGACCTCATAAGAAACAAATATAGCCAATTGAAAACCATTGCTGTTCTCACAATGATTAGCTTCAGTGAATTTTCATAATTTCAGAATTGACCATATATTAAAAAACAAAATAATACCTGTTAAACCATTTGCAAATTCAGTGATATTTACATAAGAAGAAAATTCCTATTTCTTTCATACGGACAATGATTTGAAAGTGTTTTCCATATCTTTTTTCTACAGCAACACGACAGAAAGTTTGATCAAATCATTGACGCGATACATCCAGTTAGCTGTAAGATTTTCAGATTGTTTATTTCAACGGTGAGATTATTTCTTCCGCACAGAAATGAGTAAGAAGTGTCAGAAGATAGATGGAAAATTTCCGAAAACTGATAGCTTATAATTATAAGTACCTTAACTTAACCTATTACCAATAACACTACGGAATATACAAAAGTAATGAAAGTAACTTTGTGACACGGCAGAATATATACAAGATTGTGATGATATGGTATTACAAAAGGAAGATCTAAAATTTAAAAAGTTAGCAAATGAATTTATAATATTTGTGCTTGTTAGTATCTTTAAAGATGTGAACATATTGAAATCGCCATCCTTTTGGTGGAGGATACAATCGTTAATACATTTTTATTTAATTTTATTTTGTACATCCAACTATCCATACATATAAAACATGCACATTTCTCTAAGGACATTGGAGAGATAGTTAAGTCATAAAAATACATTTAGAGTCACATTGGTATTATTGACCTTTGTCAAATGTCATTTTATAAATTTTTTTTAATGATTTTTGTCAGTGATCTTAAAAAAGTAAACCGTATTTGTTTCAGGTTAAAAACTCAATTGCATTTTCAGTCACATATATTTTTTTCGACTTTTCACTTCTATCCTATTTTTTACCCCAGCTGTTTCATCATTTAGATTTCCGGGATAATATTTCGAAACTAAGTAAACCACCTGATATTATAAATATATCTTGACAGTGACGTTGTAATTGTAGACAACCTATAAATCACCTGACCCCAACTCAAGGTTTCAGATTATTATATTCAACCATTTGTTTATCTTATACGGTATTTACATGATCTCCTTTTCATCAAATGTTATAACATTGTTACATATAATGTTTTATGATTCACCGCCGATATTTCAAAATTAGAAACACCTGCATATGTGTTCATTAGCGTTAACTATTTTTCTTTTGACGTCTCAGACGACATCTGCTTAGGACATAGACGGTAGCTTGCACTTGACAGTACTCGTTGCATCTATTTCCGCGTTAATCCGGTTCCGCATTATTTTCATTTTTCGTTATTTTCACTTGAAGCGCCACCTGTATTAAAACAAACGTGACCTACTTTTCGCTGTGACAGATATATTTGCCAGAACCGCTTTCTGGTATGTTATATGTTAAAATGTATAAGATTAATACAAAATAACGATGATTTAAACAAAAATACAAATGTTTTATATGCATTTACCATGAAATATGTTAATGAATTTGCGTGTCGTCTGCTGTCAAAATTTGTTTTAAAAACCTCAACCATACCATAGTCAGTAGAGGTTACAAAACACTAATTTTTTTTCTTCCTCAGGACACTGGTGTTCATGGTACAAGTGGGAGGAAACCTTATGATAGAGGAAATTTGAAATTGGCCTATGAAGCTATCTTGTCTGGCATGTCTGTCTATAAATCTTGTCGCATGTATGGTGTGCCAGAATCTACATTAAGGGACCGCACTAGTCCAAATCTTTAGACGTAACCGCGGATTTGAAGCTATTTCTACATGGGTCAAATTCGCTTTAACGTCTAAATATGTCTATTTAAAATTCATAGCAAAATGAAAAACAATAAACATGCACAATCATTCAAACTTCCACGTGAAATGTAACAAATAACAATTGATAGTCATAATCCTACCACAAATGTGTATTTTCCTTCTCAATAACTACTTATACAACTTTTCAAAAACTGTACACAATGCCGTGTAAACAGCCTCCAGCGTAAAGCGGTGGTAACAATAACCGAATTTTTTGACGAAATTTTTCCAGCGTGCTTCTGTTTAAGGGAAATACAGTATTATGGAAATGCTATATTTTTGTAATCAGAATTTAAAGAAAATGTAAAATAATAAAGTAGTTGTACTTGATCAAGATACATTTTTCTTTAATTTATGTATTAAATCGTGTTTTAATTGTTTGGTATTAATCTATTTGTATAAAAAAAATCTCAAAAATGAATATAATATTACGTTAATTCACGTTATAATTATAGAATCCCGATCACTTTTGATCTACTAATCATAAACAACGTAGATCAATATTTTTTAGTTTATAATTAGTGGTAAGCGAAGCAATCCGCATTCACCAAAGTTACGAAAAATTGGACAGAAACGACTTCACGAGCGATTCGTGTTTCTTTGAGCATTCACATGCTGAAGCACAAAATTAGCAGCATCTACATGAGGAACATGTACAAAGGAAATCGTCACATCATTCGCATGTCTTATTAAAAAATGTCTCCTTCTCTTGAATTGTAAAAACATCCATGGTTGCTTGTCGGATACACATTTTATCCGAATTACGGACAATGTGTGCCATAATCTTATCCGTAGTTTTTAGTGAAGGAGTAAAATTATCAAACAAAATAACACTTAATCCCTGTCTCCCATCCCTGGCGCATCTTCCAGCTTCTTGTCAGTACGAAATTGTAGATTGAGGGCAATCATAGTGAATGACATCAATATCCCTTACGTCAATCCCCATTCCTAATGCAACAGTAGCTATGACACATCGGATAGTGCTGACTTCTTTAACCAAAGATCGAAGAATACGGGTTTTAGAAGTATCATACGTACATTTATGAAACATATCTATCAGTAAATGATCAGGGTCTTTAATTTTATCTGCATAAGCATCGATTCCCAGTGTTTCTTTCAAAGTAATAAAAAGTTCCGACACTCTGTCAAGGGAACGACAATAAATGAGAATTTTCTTCGACTTTTTCCCGAAACATTTCAAGTGCTGAATTAACCAATTAAATTCTACCTCAATGTCAGACGTACATCTTTGTTTACAACATATCATAACGTTTTCCCTGTTAGGTGATTTAGACACAATGTCCGTTTCTTCGGGGTTTAACTGTAGTACCGACAAGATGTCATCGCATACTTTAGATATACACGTAGCAGTCACAGCCAGAACGGGAACCTTAAAGAAACGTCTTAACTGTGCCATTTCTCTATATTCCGGTCTGAAGTTCTCTCCCCATTCTGCGAGGCAATGTGCCTCGTCAAAAACAATAAAAGACACTCGTATTTGCCAAACTTCTCCTAAGAAAACACTTCTCGACAGATTTCGGCGAGGCAAACACAAAATTGTAGTCTCCATTTGCAATACCTACGTAGTAAACAAAAAATAAATCCATTGATGTAAGAAAAAGAACGAAAGCTATTTTCATTTATGCCAGATCAAACAAAACAAATAAAGTTAACAAAAGTTGTCTTTTTTAAAGGAATGGACGGCTTTAAGGGGCTCCACTGCGGTTTTTCTGACACTACGGGACTGAAAATAATTTTTCAACTTCTTAAAGGTCAATACCAATAATTTTTGTGCAAAATTAAATCATTCGCACACTTTTCTTTCCCAGAATAATTATCCTAATGGTAAAATTGAAAAGCAATGGTACGTTTTTCACGAAAATCGGGCTAAGAACAGAAAAAAATTACGATTTTCAAAATATTTGCGAATAGATCTCTTATGTCTAAGTTATATTTGCATATCGTTCTGTTGTAAAAAAATGGTGTTAGGGTTTAACCCCAATAATGTTCTTAAATTTTCGTTGTACATGTATTCTTCAAATGTCGATAGTATCTAAAAAATTATCAAACAAAAGTCATTAGCACGACATACAAACTGAATACGAGCAGTAAATATCAAATAGCTGATTATGAAATACATTGAACTGGTATGGCTCTCTGGTCTTGCTCGGCATAATTATGCTGGTTTTCTACTCGCATGACACATATTATAAATATATTAATTTATATGAGAATGTAAATTGTTGTGTAATATGGTATGGTCTATCATAGACGTAAACATGTCTCTTTAATAACAGTTTAATAGACATGTATTTCAAAATTAATGATGTAACGTCATGATGTGATGACGTCATAAAGGAGAATGCGCGACGTTACGCTGCAAAATCAGTAAAAAATACTTGAAAATCATTTAAAAAACATGAAATAAAAAGAAAATTTATTTGTTTTACATAATTATAGGGTCGAAATATATTTCATTCGTGAACACCATCTATTCTATTTGCACTAGTGGCTACGCCACTCGTGAAAATATTGCATCTTGTGTTCAATCAGTGAAATACATTTCAGTCGTATATGTCAAACAAATAAATATCCTCTGTATATGTATTATGAAAGATATTGATAGAAATGAAAAGGTGTCACATGAGTGTTTGATGGTTTTTGTTGTTGTTTTTGTTTTTGTTAAGGACAATATAATATTGAACACAATTATGGCAAAATGTAAGTTTATTTTGACTGTTAACAGAACATACGCCTGTTACGATTTGATTTGAAAAGAGTCACTTTGTGGTCGAAAATAACACATCAATACTTATTTCTTACTTATCAGCACAAGAGTAAAGCAGCCAGAAATATTTTTGGTTCAGCTTCTGGATGTGTGAGCTCAAAATGGGATACAATCATAACAGCGATCAAAGCCAGACAATACAGACCTGAAAATTTGTACAACGCCACATCTGCAACTAAGAGGCATTTTGTATCTGTGGCTGTTGGAATTGTCCGAAAGGAGATTAAGTCCACATCAAAGGAAAAAATTCCGTTGGCTAAAAATGTTGACATTCAAAATATCCAAGAATTTTCATGGGAAAACACGTTAGATATGGCTGAACCATCAGCGCCTTTACTTGTCGGAGTATTAAAGGGGACTGTAAAGACCAAAAGAAATGAAAATTAACTTGTCAGAGGGAACCACGTGGAATTGAAACCTAAAATAGGCAAAGCCTTAGCATTTTTGCTTCACGCTAGATACCCTCAAATTTTCAGATTTCTTCCAACTTTGATTTCAGTTCAGTTTTGGAGGGGGCGTTTAAAGAGGGAAACTATGACCCAGTTATCTCGTTTGGGTATTTGTTTAGGCCCTAACGCTACACTTTCGGCTATAGACAGAATTCGTTCCGATTGTGATGTCGCAGCGTTGCGTTTGAAGCAGGCGATGCAGAATTCTTTTTCTCCATAATTGCATGGACATAAAGAAGAAAAATTCCGACTTGCCTACTGCTTTGTCAGAGATATGTCCATATATAGAGAAGAAAAAAGTGAATTTCTTGAAGATAGCGATGACACATTTCTTTATTCTGAAGGAAATGAGACCCTGCAAAATATTCCATACACGGAGGAAGAAATGGATGCTGAAGAAGAGATTGATGAAGATGATAATAATGACAGTGATGGCAATGGCGATGATGAAGATACTGAAGACGATGACCGAATGATGGAAGAAGAATTTTCAGAAGAAGTACAGGATGTTGAAATGAGCCTGGAAGATGATGATGATGTTATAGAAACAGAAACGTCATACCAAGAAGTTGGTGGAAAGCATGAAACAGATTCATTTGCGCAAGAAACTCTGCCGTTAGGGTTCACAATGTGCTGGGACAACGTAGGTGAAAAGGTCATTTACACGTAGACCAAACGAAAATGTCAAAAACAGGTACATTAACATGGCTTTTGGTTATATTGCTGTAAATAAGGTTCCGTCAACGCATCTACCATGGAAAAATGAAAACTTGATAAAAGCAGTCAATATCCCTATTGCTTCTCCATACCAGGTAAAATTTAGAAGTCTTAGGGGCAGAATGCAAGTAATAGTTGGACGGATGTTAACGCGTCACATTCCTTGGTATAAGGAGCATTTCATCAAATACAGTTTACCTCATATATTACATGAACATACACTTGAATCTACATATATAAGTTTACTGATAAACTTAGACGTTTTTAACGAAGAACCATCTTCCACACAAGGAGCAATTGGAATATACACAAGACTTCAAAATTATGTACCTGTGATCGACGGCAAACCTTGTCAAGTGGTTGCCTTCGGTGACGGACTTAGTTGCGAGCGTGAGAATGACGCTCAGCGCGCTCGTTCCAATGGGTTAGATCCGATCGAACGACTTGAAGGCCTTGAACCAGCAGTGCAAGAATTTCACAAAGAAATGTTGCTCCTGCAGGATTACTTCGATGACTTCTTTAAAAGCTCCAGCGCAGCAGACCGAGGAACACTATGTCAGGTAAAGAACATGTTCATTGAACGCCGCCTTTCCTTGTTGATCTTGTTTTTCATATATTATAACTACAGACTAGTAAAAGCAGACATTTCTGATAATTTTGCTCACTCTTGGGAGCTCATGTGTCTCATTACAGAGACATTTGCCTGCTTACTCACAATGGACATTCAAGGCTTTACCGACCATACAAGTAGGCCTGCTACAGCACCTGACGGCTTAGAGGACGAGGCTGATGAAGTTAAGTCAGCTTTCTTCAATAACATATGCAAAGAGGTTGTGAAATCGGTGTGGCACAGATTTTACATTGAACGTCTAAAGAACGACGATGGTACTGGCCCACCAATAATTTGTTGTGGTGAAGACCTAGATGATGAATACTTAATAGGTTGTGAATCTAGAAGCAGTTGTCCTAATGGAGAATTCTTTCACCACTCCTGTGCCGGCGTAGACCCTAAGAATATTGACACCCCTTGGTACTGCAGTATTGAATGCCGAAATCTGATTAACCCACGTTATCGGTATTGTATATGCAAAAAGGACCTTGGTACGGACGAGCCGATGATTGGCTGTAGTGCTGAAGACCGTTGTCTCAAGGACGAGTGGTACCACATGCGATGCCTTGAAATTGATCCGAAAAAGAAACACAAAGGGGAATGGTACTGTTCGGAAGAATGCAAAGCTTTATGTAAAGGCAAGAAAGGAAAAGGAGGTAAGAAAAATCAACGTCCAGAAGAAGAAGATTATAAAAGGTCATACTCAATTGCTGCCCTTTGGAGAGGCCTTAACCTGTTGTGTAGGCGCGACTCTGTAAGAGAAGCAGACGGCGAATCTATGATGGCCTTTTGGAAGCTAGACTTGATTCATTTCTTTGGGCATAAAATCCAAAGTATGTTATTCTTGCCCATAGACTGCTTGCCGCAATAAACGGATGGGTTCTAGAGCGAGTGAAGCAATATTTAATACACAACAGAACCGTGAACTATGGCGGGGGCATTGGACAAAATCTTCCATTAGATTTTATGAACGAAATTCTGAACAGACTGTTCAAAGATCTTTTAGAATCTGCAAAGGGCCGATACACAGACACCACCATTAACAGATGCAGTCAAATCGTTGGTCCTTTGGGTGAGGCGTTAGATGTTGTTTTCGACACGAATGTAGTTGAGAATGAGATCTACAAACATCGCCGCAGGGATGTTAATAGAGACGCAAATGTGTCAAAACATTCCAGGTCGAAAACACAGAGCTTTCGAAGATTTCGAAGATTTTTATTACAATGAGACCCCTATGCAAGCTGAAAAATTTACTTCTAAAATGAAACAGTTAAGTAAAAAATTGGATCGAAGAAGGGCTATTGTGCTAGACAATAACTAGAGCTAATGATAACAGTTTTGATATCCGGTTACATGTGCACATGTTTTAGGACTTGTTAATTTTAATTTCTTGCTGAAATAAGTTCAACGTTAAATATTGTTAGTTGCAGCTAGTATACTTATGGAAAGTTTTATATCTACAAAACAACAAGATATAAGTCACATTTAAAAGGAAGGTTTTTGTTCACTACGCTGTGATAGAGAATAATCTATCTTACAACAAAAGATTGAAATTTTTCCAGAACATTTTAATATTGCATTACCTGTGTTTGGTGAATGAGAATTGTCTCGCTTACCATTTACACAAACATAAGTGTTTTAATTCTTTTTTTTGGCATTCGAGATATTGGTACAACATAAACGTGAAAGAACTTGTGTTTGGTGAATGAGAATTGTCTCGCTTACCATTTACACTTATAGTGTTTTTATTCTTCGAGATCTTGGCACAACATAAAGTGTAACAACATGTGTTACTGTTAATATCAACGACTTTAGCAACTGATTATTTTACAATTCACACCGCACGGTCCCATGCTTAAAAAGACAAGAGAAAAAAAATCGTCCAGACTAATTTCGTATTATGTTTTACGAGTGACGTCACAGCGCAACCTGGAATTTCCAATATGCGGGGTCAACACAAAATGGCTTTCATGCATCTCCTTGAATAAATGGATAAGTTAACAACT